GCATCAAAAAACATAATTAAGAGTGAGAAGGCAACCCATATGACAGGGAAGAATATCTTCCAATTATCTATCTGACAGTGTTTGGACTCTGAAATGCAAAAACATACCCCCAATTTTAATAACAACAACAAACTAACTTAATAATGGGGTAAATGTTTTAATAGCCATTTCCCCAGAAAGATGTGCAATGGCCAATGTATACATGAAAAGAGGCTCCATATTAGTAGTCACTATGAAAATACAAATTCAAACCATAATGAAATATTGTCTAATAATAATAAGAAGAATAAAATTTAAGATAAGGAGAATAAGAGATGTTAACAGGGATGTGTAAATTTGGGGAAAAAATGGAACACATGTACTGTTGGTGGGAATGTACAATGATGTGGCCTCTATGGTTCCTCAAAATAATAACAAAAATAGAATTTTCATATGATCTAGCAATCTCACTTCTGGTTAGACAATAAAAATAATTTAAACCACAGTTTTAAAGAAAAATTTTCTCTCCCATGTTCATAGATGCATACTCACAATAGCCAATGGGTGACAGTAATTTGAGTGTGTATGGACAATTAAATGAGCAGTTAAATATAGTATATACAGTCAGTGGAATATTTTCAACCTTAAAAATAACCTTATCTATACTAAAACATGAATCAATCTTGAGGAAATTAAAGAAATCACATTAAAGAAAATGAACCCCAATCAAAAGAAGACAGATTATTTCATGTGATTCTACTTATATGAAGTCTCTAGAGTTGTCAAATTCATAGAAGGAAAGTAGAATGGTGGTTGCCTAGGGCTTGGTAACGGTACAAGGCTCAGTTTGCACAACACAGTAAGTTCTGGAGAAGGATGGCCATGGTTGTAGCAAGATAAATGTCAATATGCTAAAGTCACTGAATGGTAGTCGTAAGCATGGAACTTTATGTCCCGTATAGTTAACATAACTAAAACTAAAAATGAAAAGGAAATAGATGAGTTATAATCCTGTCACAATTTGATTTTGTTTCTGAAATAACATATAGGATAATATATGAATCAAAATACTTTTAATTTTTGTATAACTATAAAAAACAAAACTATAGGAAAAGATTTTCATCACAGAGAAAAAAATTTAAAGAAACATCCTAATTATTTAGTTTTTAAAATTTTGCATATGGCATTATATCCAATTGTTCTGTGCCAAGAACTTTTTAAAGACAATTATTCTGTTTGGGGTAAAAGCCTGTTGCATCAGATTTGGAAAACATCCCTAAGTGGTTGTAATGTGTAGGCAGATTTGTTACACTGTGATAATTTGGCTTCATTTGGCACTGGCAACCAAAGTGCCTCCACTGACTGTCAACTTCTCATTCACTAAGTCCCCTGATGGAACTATGTAATTTAGTACTATGTACTAAAGTGTCCTCAGTGGGTTGAAAACAATTAATAACACAATTCAATGCACAATTGGTAGATTTGCTTTAGCAATAAGAGTCAACACTTCCCTTTCAATACAATTAATTTTTAAGGAAGTATTCAATGACTTTTAAAAGAGCATAACCATGGCACGAAGCTTTTACCTAAAGACACCTGCTAAAGGACACTAGAATGAAGACTACTGCAACAAAATTTGCTACAGAATATTCACTATCATATGATCAATATTTTCAGAAACTCTCCAAATAGGTGGTAATTTGTATTATCTTATATATACACCTAACAACTTATAGCATATATATATATATATACATACATACATATGTGTGTGCACATATATACATATATATTATATAACATGTATTATCAATACTAATTGTCTACTTGATTGATCTGGGAAATTCCATGAGATTAATCAACCATGGTGCCTGAATGTATCTGTGAGAGCCTTTTCAGAGATGGACATGTAATGAAAGCCATGATCTCATGAATGTTTTAATCCAAAGATGTATTCAAAACTTGAATTCCTGCTTAGAAGAAATAAGTCAGGAAGAAAGGTCATTGAATGCTATACCTTGTCTTGCCCTTCCAGTTCTACTCTGCTGTTCACCATGATATAAGTTCTTCTGCCATGGCCTTGACACTATAATGGACCCTCTGAAACAGTGAACAAATCTTTCCTTCCCTACGCTGTTTTTGTTGGTGATTTACCAAGTAACGATAAAACTAACATATAACAATATTCTGTAAGACTTGAGCTCATCTTTCCTTTGAGTATGAAGGCATTGATGCCTAAATTTCCAAGCCTGAATCTTTAATGCAACCACATAAATTCTCCATATCTCTACATTCATATTCATAGTCTTATTTCTAAATGGAAATCAAGTAGAGTGCATCTAATGAATCTACTCAATATTATCAACTTGCCTTCACTCATGGGAAATAAACCTAACACAGTTGCATTTAACATTGCTAGGCTGATTTCTAATACAGAATCTACCTATTGATCCCAACTAATGAAATCAGGTCTAGTTGCTAGGTAAAAAATTCAAACAACAACAAGAAAAAAAAATGCTTTGAATCTTGCCCTTTGTGGCATTTTTCAAGAATAGAGGTTGTTTCCTTGTGTGCTCCATCAGCTCTCTTCTCTACCTACATCACCCTGTGTAAGTGCTCAGAAGGACATGAGAGTCTTGGTGGACAGAATAAGGTTTTGGACAGGAATTATCCAGGTCCACTGATTGGTTCTGAACTTAGGCAACTTCTGCAAACTCATAAGTAAAAAACACATTGTGTGGGCTAGTGAAGTTGTTATATTGACTAAATTAAATAATACAGAAAATCACTAATCAGTAAACAGGTAAATTGATTTGTAATTTTTCTGGACTATAGTCTCTAAGGGTCTATATGTTTACCACTGTGTTCTTTTGTTTGTTTTAATTTGTCTCTTCAGCCAGGTACCATTAATAGTAGAGTATTTTCCCTTTATCCATAAATGGCAAGTGATACTTCTAAATTAAATTACTGTCCCTTGAGACTAATAAGTTAAGTAGATTGACAATTTGTATAATTACTTAAATTCACTGCCAATTTTTAGCTGCCAGAGTTTTCAAAACTTTATTTTTTTTTATAGTTCCAGTTAACAGGCATTAACCACAAAGGAGACAATCTAAGAAATCACATAATCAAGTATCTTAATAAACACCTCAGGGCTTACTAAGACCAAATCAAACAGGGATGATAAAGTAGGAACTGGTAACATTCTCCACTTCAATTTATGTTTGAATGGTTTACTGAATGAGAAAAAGAATGATGAATATATAATCTGGAAACATTTTAGCTTGAATTTTGATATCTAGCAATTTCCCTGAAGAACATCTTTATGAACTACTGTGATTTTATGTAATTGTTCATCCCAAAGAGTTCAAAAGGAGCAAATCACAGATTTCTTTGCAAATGAGATTCATGTCTCTGAAGCAGGCATAGCAAATTTAGACACATACATTGGAAAACACTTTTTATCCCTAGAGAACATATGCTTTGTAGCTTGACTTATTTAACTGGGAAATGTTTGCAGTATTGTGGGAAAAACAATATAGACACAGGTCTTGTGGAACACTTATTGTGTTTATATGCTCACAAATCACAGACGTATCAATTGATCATAAAAAGAAAATGAACAATTCCTGAAAATGGAGATGACTGTAATAAAACCTATCAGCAGCTGTACGAATTCAACATTTCTTAAGTTACACTAGTGCCATATAAAATGCAAATTAAATGAATATACAGTTTCTCCAAAAACATTTTAGTCTGAAAATATAGTCTTGTAGAGTTTATAAATTGCTGTGCATTCATTTGCAATGGTCTCAGTGTGCAGAGGGCACCAAGGTTTCAGTGTGAAAGTGCTTACTTCAGTCACAGAATAAAGCATCCTAAGAGCCCTCAGAAGGATTGCAGACACAGCAGGAGCTCAAAACTTACTATTCTCAGTGAGACTGTCTTTAGACCACACCAACCTTAAATGATATGTACCCCCACATTCTATCCTCTTCAGATTTTTTCACCAGTTGTACTACTAAGATTACATACTCACAGAAATTCTTACAAACATATAATCTAAGCAGAACTCTTTCCCTTGTGTTGAAATTCCGCTGAAATCAAATGGTGATAAGCGGTAAACTTGGTGTATTGCATTTTTCTCATTCACTTCATATTCAATTTAATTTTACAGTTACCGGTCAAGCTCTAAACCTTTGTGCAGATGCCTGGAAAGTTCCATGGCCTTAAGCCATGGTGTATGTGTATGTAGTTCTTAATGGATTAAATGAGAGCAACCAGCAACATCACAATCAGTTTCTTTATGCACTACTTTACAGCTGTAGAAAATTTAATTTTGTGTGTGTTCCAAAACACAATGACCTTGCTATTATTACATAGGCTGTTTCCCATTTCCTCTGATTATAAATGATGCTGTGATGTGTGATCTTAAATACAAATCTTTTATGAGGCAGGAGAAAGAATTGCTTTAGAATTAATTCCCCAAAGTGGTATTTCTGCCTCCAAGTGTGTGAAGGTCAGGAAGACTCCTTAACATAGATGGTATCATTGCTTTTCAAAATACTTTCACCTATGATGAGTAAAATGCAAATGCCCTGTTTATTCCCTTATTACCATGGGAGAAAAGGGTGGTGGTGTTGCCAGTCACAAATAACAGTCACAGGGGGCACTACCCTTGGGATTATCTGAGTTTCTGTGAGAACACATTACTATAGAGTAAGACCAGCCACATACTTGGCCCCCTCTGCACAAGCTGGGTTCCTTCTGACTTTCTCAACAATGTCAGAATAAAGGTAAAGGGAACTTTTACCATTCGACAGAGAGACAGACTACTTGATTTTAAGCATCTTTGCCTCCAAAATTGTGAGCTAAATAAAATTCTTTCAAAATATTCCACTTCATATACTTGATTATAGCCAAAGAAAATGTACTAATACATTTTATATAAACACAAATGTAATAAAATAATGAATGGGACAGCTATAAATAGAGTATAGAAGACGGAGATCAAGGCTGCTGCCGCCATCGTGCCAGCCCCACTGGTCTTGGTGAGGTGGGTGACTCTCCAGGATGGGAGACAAGCCAATTTGGGAGCAGATTGGATCAAGCTTTATTCATCATTACTACCAGTTGTTTGATAATGACAGAACCCAACTAGGCACAATTTACATTGATGCATCATGCCTTATGTGGGAAGGACAGCAGTTCCAGGGGAAAGCTGCCATTGTGGAGAAGTTGTCTAGCCTTCCCTTCCAGAAAATCCAGCATAGTATCACGGCGCAGGACCATCAGCCTACACCAGATAGCTGTATCATCAGCATGGTCGTAGGCCAGCTCAAGGCCGATGAAGATCCCATCATGGGTTTTCAACAGATGTTTCTATTAAAGAACAACGATTCTTGAGTTTGCACCAATGACATGTTCAGGCTTGCCCTGCACAACTTCGGCTGACCTCTATCTGGCCAGATACTCCCGCTGTTTCTTCCTCCCTCCTCTTCCCAATACTATCTCACTCCTCCAGATGTTCCAAATATCATACACACACGATCAGGGCCGAGGTGGGAGTGGGTGCAGTGCGATTCTGTCACCACAGCGTTGTGCATGATGTTTGGATGCTAGACTAGTTGCATCTGACAGGAGAAGTTTGTGTTGTACCAGTGCATGCCTTGGAAAGACTTAAGTAATGCAAAAGATTGTCGGTTTTTGTTTTTGTTTTGTTTTTTAATCTACTGACAAGTTGCTCTAGTAACCCAAAGAAGTGAAGGAGAAAGCAGCTGCCTCACCGCCCAGATATTGATTTGTTCAGATGTTTCAATGCCTCATGATACAATAAAACCACAAAATTTTTCTTAACAGTTTAAATTGTTTTAATTAGTTAAGTAGTTGGCTGGGCATCAACAATTCTGGCCCATTGTCTCTTATTTCACCCTCTCACCTCTGCCTCACCTTAACAGTATCTGCTACAAGGAGCAAACTGACTGAAGTTGCCAGTCCCAACCAAGTTTTCTCAAGCCTGCTAGGCCAGAGTTCTCTCCAACCCACTTGGTCTTTGGAAAGCAGGGAAAGCTGGAAGCAGGTCTGGCCTGAAGCTTGTCTTGTACTGAAGGCTCTAAAGTCAGTTCTGTTTGACACCTCCTGTGGCCTCTGCTTCGAGTAGATTCACATCTAGTAGCAGGATAGATGATTCTACTGTAACTTCTAGAAAGCCCTTGATAAATATGGTTTCCCATATTTAGACTCTCCGGGATGAAATCCCAGATGGACCTGCTCCATTCCCAAAAGGGTCAGGATCACAGAATTCCCACATTCCCTAAGCAAAGCAAGAGATGCTGTACTACCTGCTTGGTATGTCAACTGGGCCCCACTAAGTTGGAGTATAAATTCCACAATACAGAAGAAATCAGTGTGAAGGAATCATGCTCTCGTTCTCCCCTCCAGACTTTTGCAGGGTACACGGTATGCGCTCTTCAAATCCCAGAAGTCTTAACTATTAGGGCAGTTTCTGCCCTGCTCCTTAGTTTGGGCACAGGTCTTGCCCAGTACAAATCTAGCTTTTCATCCTTGAGACCTCTGGATAGTATAAAGCTGGTATCAAAATAGCAGCTGCAGCCTAGGATTGGTTGGGCATACCTGAAAACTCTCCCCTCCCCCCAAATCTCGCACTGTGGGGGGAGTAACTTTCCTCATACTCCACAGGTTGCCTGGTTACACCAGCACAGTTCTGGACAGCACACAGGAGGTATCAGTGGGACTGATCTCTAAGCTGCTGTGTATTGGGGGAAGTAGGGGTGGGGGAGAGGTAGATATCATCTGCCTCTTAATCCACCCTGTATAAAATCTGCAATACAGCTTCTTCCATGTACCTGTGCCTGAAATGTCTGCAATAAAGAAGTGTTTGTAAAAAAAAAAAAAAAAAAAAAAAAAAAAAAAAAAGACAGAGATCAAGGAGTCAGGCTGGCTATGATGGTACATGAACTGAAGAAAAGGGATCTAGAGATATGACCGGGTAAAGTTGATCTAGAAGTAGAGGTGTTTCTATTTAAAGAAGGAGACAGGTGGCAAGAGGTCAGGGCAAGACTAAAGCAAGAAGAGAAAGGGGCATGTGACTTAGCACAGCTCAGTGCCACAAAATATGAACACCTCTGAGCATCATATGTGTCTGCTCTGGGATGACCGATTATTTCAGGTACCCCACTGACATTACTAGGAGTTTCTGGTAGTTCTAAAAGTAGACCATACTTTTTATTTAAAAAGGGAAAGCAGGGAAGGGGTATACTTAGATGAAGACCTATTGGCAGTTAAACACTGCTGAGAGGAGAAATTAGCCTTCCTCAGAGAGGAACCCCTAAATACTTATCCGAACCCAAGTGGCTGGCCCTGAAAACAACACACAAGCAACACTAAATGGACTCAATGGACTGCTTTCATAAATTTACTTGCAAATAACAATATGTACACACAGACATGTAACAACAATAATTAAAGAATAAGAATTTAATGAGAGAATGGGGATGTGGGAAGAGTTTGGGGGAGAAAGGGGGAGGAATGATAAGATCATATTTTAATTCAACCTTTAAAACGTCAAAGTATTTACTTATATTTGGGAAAGTTATTCTATTTGCTAGATATTTAACCTAGTTGGTGGTCGGAACTACTTGTCTCACTGTTCTCCACTTTGGACATGCTTTGTATCCAGCAGAACAGTTGCTTACGCAAATCTGTTTGTTCCCTCTGCAATGAGAAATTAGAAAGGGCATGATATTCATTCAGAGAGAAGCCAGTAAATTCAAATATGAAGACATTATAAATGAGCCAAATAAACACCATGTTGTCTACCAGTTCCTGGACACTGAAGAACAGAAGATGATCATCATCTTCTCTCCAGCAATCTCACATCCTTCCTGCCTTTGCCATTGCTGTGCTTCATCTGATCACCAATTCCCTCCCTTCTTCACTTCAGACTAGGAAATAACCTAGTCTTGAATATTTCCTTCATAGGTGACCTTCCACAGTAAAAGTCTTCTGGACTACCAATGGTAAAATCAACCCCTACACAGTGAATTCATACTGTTTTCTTTTCATACTGGACCAGTTTTGGATTGTGATTGTCTAAGGCCCTTGCCCCTCCCATGACCACCACATGTTGGTCATGGCTCCAATCATTGTTTAGTATTCTGCAGCATCTGCCATGCCATCAAATTAACATTTTTAAAAGCTTATTTTCAAGAAAGTCATTTGAAGTTAAATACTTAAGTATTTTACATGGAATTTAACATTATTAACATGACCAACCCAGTTCTTATGTCTTACATTGGGATCCAGTAAAGATAATCATGACTTATGTCTTGTTAGACACACTCTGAGTTTTAAATGAGACAGTCAGTGATCAAGGCGACATCTTAATGAAGGGAGTAATATTCTATTATGTGCTAATTAGAACTTTCCATGAGAACTGATGGAAAAGAGCCAGTTCCACAAGTAACCCGGCACCCCCATTTTTTCCAGCACATAGATATAGAGGAGCAAGCTTCTATTCCAAATAAGTAGTGAGAGAAACAGACTCGTTTAATGTTAGAAAAGTGTGAGTTGCCCTATGGATCTCTATCTGCCATGGTGACTAATACAGCTTTCCTATGATAGATGACCAACAGAAATAAGGAAATCCTCACAGTATACTGCATAGAAAATATCACTTAAATCACCTGCTACAACATGGAGTTTGTTTCTGAATACATAAGCTAATGACCTTTCCACACCAAAACTGCTTTGTGTTTTGTTCACTTATCTTTGCAGCAAGTAGTCATTTCCCAGGTGCATACACTAGCTGGAGGCATAACAGATGGGCATTTTTAAAAAGTGAGTGGATATGTGACACAATCATCACTTCCTTACCCCAAGGCCTTGATCCCCTCTTTTTGTCCCCATGAATATTTAAAGTTTGTTTGTGAAAGAAAAACCCACAGGTTCTTCTAGAGAATTTGATTGCTCTTGGCTTTCCTGACAGGAATGGTTTGTCTTCTTAATTTCAGTTTTAGGTTTGTTTATTGCTTTGTAAATGGGAGGAAAGTTTTTTTCCTCACCAGAATACAGAATCAAATCATGGGCATCTCCTTCTGTACTGATATCACAACTCAAAAAGAGGGTTGCCACCTTCTAGCTGGGGTTTGTCCTGGATGAACACAGGGAGGTTCAGGGTCTGAGGGGAAAGGTCTTCCCATGAGTCTCACACTAGGATCCCTGATGTTGGTATATGCTCAACTGAAAATCCATGCTTGAAAGTAAGCAGGGAAACTGTACCATGTGTTTAAACCACTTTATCCATTTCTTCACTCTTAAAAAAACGTATTAGGAGATTTAAATGTTGAAATGTCCTAGGTCTCCTCAAGTTTTAAAGATTGAAGGCATTGACTAAGTCATTTGAAGCACGGTCCTGGCTCAGCACTCTTATTCTAAAATCAAGTGTCTTATTTCTTTAATTTTCTCAAAAATCAAAGACCTTATAGTCCAGGAAACTCAATTCCCAGAGCAAACATATCTTCCAAAACAGCATCATAAAGGTTTTTGACAGTATTTATTTACTCATACTACATCTTCCAAGTCAAAGAAAATACAGTATTATATCCCTCACCAGAAGTGTCATCTGTTTGAAATGAGGATGCAAAGTAGGATTCTGTCACTTCCTTATTCCCAGCCTGGTAAGTAGCCCACACCTACTGCCCCCTTAACACACCCACACCCTCTGTCCCTTTACAAGCCAATCGCAAAGTGACACCTCTGTCTCTCTTTATGTCATTCTGTTCTAGAGAAGGGACTGAAACTCTGGGAGAGTCCTAAGAAGAATTACAAAGCTGTGGGAAATGTTTTTTAGTCAGTCCCAATAGTTCTTTTTATGCTTTTATGATTTGAAGTAATAATGCAAAAATGAAAACAGATTTACACAAAATCTAGAGCAGAGAGAGGCAAAATGTGTTCTCTAAGCTCCTGTTCATGTGGGAATTTACTAAAAGCCTAAGGTCTCTTCTTGTCAGATTTTATGTGTTCTGTAATCTGCAGGTACTTAGACAACGGCATTCACTTGTGTAACTGGTCCTGACCCTGGGGAGATTAGGGTAGGCAGGCAACGAGAGTGGAGGTTCTGGGCAGGCAGACCTATTTATGAGAAGACCACACACACCACACTTTCTTAACACAACTACAAATAAGTGAACTCTGTCAGCCTCAGTCCCTCCAGAGTCAGCAAGGCCACCTCACATTAAAGCACCAGAAAATAAAAATATAGATAAATATTCACAAAAGCTAAATGTGGTTGCAAAAGCCTAACATCCTAGCAGGAGGATCAGGAATTTGAGGCAACCTCAATCAACCAAAATGGATATAGTAAAGCAGTGACAAAGTTAATAGAGCCCAATACTATTTTTTTAAAGAAAATCAAAAATTTGCTCTAAATGTTTGAAGATGATAAGCATCCTTTTTTTTTGTGTGGGATAAGTAATATGTGAGCAGGCAGAGAAATAGAACATCTGTAACACCTGGAAAGTAAAGACCAGCTAATTAGAGATAGCATGAATTATGTCATCATTATTTTCATGGTTTGTTTTTTTTTTCTATATCATTCAAACTACCATCCATATGTGAATAACAATAAAATTATCATTTAAAAATAAATACACAAAACCCAGAAATACCCACAAGGTATGGGGAGAGTCGTACTACTCTAAAGCTATCTATTTTAGGACAGCACAGCCTCAGGAAAAATAGAACCTGTAACTCTGAAAGCTCAGCCTTGGAGAGAATGAATACATGTCTGATACACACTGATATGCTGAAATGCTTCACTTACCTCATTCATCATACCCTGTGAT